TTCAGCAGCCAGCCATGCTCTGCTGACCTTGGGACTTACAATGGACTTGAATGCCGTGTGGTTTGGTAACATCGGGACTGTGCCATTTTATTTGTCAACCTTGGGCTTGTCAGCCTCAGCAGCCAGTAGCTGCCTGAGTGAAGAGAGGCCTCCAGCTTCAGTGGGCCGGGAGCAAGAGGCAGAGCTGAAGCCCAAGGTTGAGGGGCTTTCACCCAGCCCCTAGACCCTGGCACTTTGAATTCAGACTTTTAGCCTCCCGAACTGTAAGAGAATAAACTCCTGTTTGTTTAAGCCATCCCATTTGTGGTATATATTCTTGTCAGAGTGGCACTAGGTAACCAGAATAGAAGGTCATGTCAAAGTGACACAGGAGCTAGTCTGAAGACCCCTCATTGGCCAAACCTGTGATAATCTGAGCACTAACAGAATAGAGGTGATGAATAGAGAACACTGAAGTAATAATACATTGAATAAATAAAAAGGTTGATTCCACAGTGATACTAAAAAAGAGGCAAAGACAAAAATCCTTTTCTTCAAAGAGAAATGTCAACTATAAACATAAAAGAAGTGACAGAATTAGATAATCACAATGTTGCAATAACTGATGAAATAATGATTAAGGCAGGTCCTATCAATGGATGCTACATCACAGGGTGAAAGATCGTTGTGGAGCAAAATATACACATGGTATCCAAATATCACTTCTCAGATTCTTCATACTCTCAAAAAGAAAATAAATCTTTACAGTAGAGAAATCTGGTGTCATCCCTTAACCAAATGATCAAACTCAGTATCACTAAATATACTACAATCTGACATGATGGCTTCCCAAAGTAATGTAATATGAAGTACACAGCGAAGTGTGCTGCCAAAATACTGAACCTGAATTGAATCAAGCCTTGTTGTTGTTGTTGTTGTTATGTGCTGTCAAGTTGGACCTGACTCATAGCTACCCCTCCTTGGGTTTCTGAGGCGGTATCACTACGGAGGTAGATTGCCCCACCTTCCTTACGAGGACTTGCTGGTGGGTAGACTTCACTTACAGTGAAGGGAAATACAGGAGACAGAAGAACAAGTTAAATAACACCACAAGGAAACAAGAAATCCAAATGTGGATGTTCTAGAAGACAACTGTCCTGATCTCTTCAAAAATCAATCTCATTACATAAGTAGACAGACTGAATGATCAGGTATGTCTAGGCAAAAGAGAATATACCAGTGACCACATATACATTTGGCAAATGATATTTCTACATACATATTTGTATGTGCTATAAGAATGTCCATATAAATAGAACTAATAAAGGGCAAAGTTATGGTAACTTCTTAGCCACAGCCAACCACCTTGAGGGAGTGAGTTGTTGAACCTGAGGCTCCGAACCACGGTCACGGACAACTGGCATAATATACTATACAAAAACATTGTTCTACATCCTATTTTGGTGAGCAGCAACTTGGGACTTAAAACCTTACAAGCAGTCACCTAATGCAACAATGGATCTGTCCCTCTCCAGAGAGCAAAGAATGACGGAAACCAAAGATTCATGGAAACAATTAGTCTAAGGGACTAATGGACCATGTGAACCTCACCTTACATAACCATGAGACTAGAAGAACTAAGTGCCTGGCTACCACTGTCAACCACTCAGAAAGGGATCAGTGCAGGAAATCCTAGATAGAATGGGAGAAAAATGTGGAATAAACCTCAAAATCATAAAAAAGACCAGGCTTACTGGTCTGATAGAGACTATGACCCCTAATCACCCTTTAGGCCTGGAATTAAACTCATTCCCATGGTGCAGCGTAGTAAATTACTTAGTGTCACTTTTCTACCCATAAGTCTTTGTAAACTCCGAGGTGGAATTTGCCATGAGCAACTGAGGAGCTCCTGATTGCTAAAGTTGTCCACCTGGGGTATTTCTGTTGGGTGTGGCACAAAACAATGTTATGGGAGGTTCCTGCTCTCTCTCAGGTGCTTAGAATTCTGATGTTATGATTGGTTGGTTTGGCCACTCTGCTGGGCTCAAAAAGGAGGCCTCGTAGAGGCAGAGGTCTCTCTGACTGTTGGTTGAGGAAGACATGCTGCTGAAAGAGACACGCACTGCTGGGAAAGAGATGCAAAAGACACGCATTGCTGAGTGAGACACCGACGGACACGCACTGCTAGGAGATAGACTGTGAGAGACTGTTGGCTGAGAGACAATGAGCTGGGGCAGAGACTAAGCGTTTTTCCTGAACTTGAATTGCAGCCTGGTGCTTCCCTAATAAATCCCATAGTCTGTGAGTTCTGTGTGGCCACTGCAGCGAATTATCGAACCCAGGAGAGAGGTGGTGGGTGCTTTGGGAGGGAACAGTTGGTGAAAGGGCTGGGGGGAGGCAGCATGTCTGGCCTTTCAGGAATAGGCCTTGGGTTACTGATGGTGATTCTCTCTTCCTCTTATGCAGTTAGAGGAGGTCAGGAGATGCGGCCTCCTTGTCCCTTTAGCACATGGTTTCCAGCCAAACAACAAACTGGCATAATACGTAAACATTTACACCAGGTAGGTATACTCTTTAGGATAATCAATCATGGGAGATCAGAAGGGCAGTATTTGCACAGGTAGATAGACAGCTCAGAGGGCAGGAATGCATAGGAAAAAAGAACAGAGGGAAAAGGTAACTACAGGGAGAAAGTGGGAGGAGGGCATTGCACTCAGTGTCATGAAACAAAAGGTGTATGAACTGCTGTATAGAGAATGAATTTGCTCTGTAACACCCAAACTACAATTAAAACAAAAATTAATCCATAAGGAAAATGAAAGTAGACAGACTATTGTAGATTACATGACATCCTAATGTAATGCATGAATCTTTATCAGATCCTAGTTTAAAAAGAAAAAAAAGCTATAAGAGATCTTTTGGGGACAAATAGGAATACAGGCTGTATAACTGATAATATTAAGAAATGAATGCTAACTTTTCAGGTGTTCTGATATGTAGGAAAGCATCCTTATTCTTTGGTATTACAGGCTGACTTACTTGGAGAAGTGTCATGATGTCTTTAACATATGTTCCAACAGTTCAACAATAACAACAATGACAAATATACATACATACAAATGCACACACACAAACAAGCATGCAAACACTCATTACCCCCCAACATATACATAGATAAAGCATCAAATATGTCAAAATAATAACCTATGTGGTGGGCATACAAATGTTTCTTGGAACTTTTCTGTATGTTTGAAAATTTGCACAATATTAGAAAATTTTATGTAATAAAAAGTGTATAAAAATATGTCATGAGGAGCATTCCCCTTTTGGTTTATTCTAAATCTGATGGTAATAGTTTTTAATAGTTGAATATTTAGGTGATAAGTTCTGGTTACTATCCTTGTCAATTTAAATAGGAATTAAAATTAAATCTATAGACCTAAAGACAAAGAACAGTAATCAAACTAGTTTATTTCATAAACTATTCTCCTATTACTGCAACTGTTTTCCATTCATTTGGAGATGTGCATTCCACTCTTCATCACCGCCACAACACGAAGGTATTTTTTAGGTAATTGCTCTTATTGTTGTTATATGCTGTTGAGTCGGACCCGACTCATAGCGACCCCTTGGGTTTCCGAGGCAGTATCACTACAGAAGTAGACTGCCCAACCTTCCTTTCGAGGAGTGGCTAGTGGGTTTGATCCACCAGGCTTCTGGTTAGCAGTCAAGTGCCTTAGGCACTATGCTACTGGAGTTCTTAGCCTACTAAAAGCAAGTAGCAACAAACAAAAAATCCCAAAGCTAGGTTTGATAGGAGGCTGGTAGCCTCCCTGAGGACAGAAAAAGAAAAGGGAGGGAACTTAACAAATATGGTTCAAGAGATAAAGTTTTATTTAAAACAAAAGAAAAAGGTGTAAGTCTCAGTACAAAAAGAGAAAGGAAAAAGTCAACAAAGAAAGCTAACACAGAAAACGGTGCACTCAGTATACACTCAAAAAGAGAATAGTTAGAAAGTAGAATATCTAGAATGTAGAAATATTACTGTGAGCTTTTAACACAAGGATGCTGTTTTTTTGGGGGTGCCATCAATTCCAACTCGTTATGACTCAAGTGACAGAGTAGAAATGCACCGTAGGGTTTTCTTAGCTGTAATCTTTGTGAAAGAAGATTGCCAGGTCTTTCTCCCATGGAGTGGCTGGGTGAGTCCAAACTACCAATTTTTTGGTTAGCAGCCTAACGCTTTACCATTTCTGCCACAAGGGCTCCTTTTTAAAACCACCAAAAAAACCAAACTCACTGCCATCAAGTTGATCCTGACTCATAGTGACCCCTCCTTGGGTTTCCAAGGCAGCATCACTACAGAAGTTGATTGCTCAATCTTCCTTCCAAGGAGTGGCTGGTGGGTTTGAACCTCCAGCCTTCTGGTTAGCAGTCAAATGCCTTAAGCACTACGCCACCAGAGCTCCCAAAGAAGAGTAATTTGAATTGGAAGCTAGGAAAGAAAGGATAAAGGGAAAATCCGTTGAATAACTCAAAGGATCAGAGATTCTGTGGTTCTCATACTATGTATGAGCCTTTACAGTGGATTCAGCAAACTGCCAATAACTCAGAAAATATAAAAAGTGCCTTACCACTGAGCTTCTATTAATGATAATGGAAAAATCAGGAAATGAATCACGGTGATGGTTGAACAACATTATGAACACAACGTCACAGAATTGTATATGTGAAGAATGTTGAAATGGCTAATGTTTTGTTACCTATCTACATGACAATAACAAAATCAAACAATTTTATAAGCAGATTACCTTAATAGTAATGTAGTTTTTTAGTGATTTGGACATTTTTTCTTCTTTGCCTTTAATGTGCAAATGCCCTAAAATAAAAACAAAAGCATTAATTCTGAATTGGGTGAGAAGAAATGACCTTTCTATCCATAGAAAATAAGAAATACTCAGACTTGACTCCTGAGCTACAGAGGTATGACTATGTGCAGATTCATTCAGATATCACCAAAAAGTACATAATAAACTATGCATTCTATCATGGGTAAAAACCCAGATGTATATATTGATACGAAAGCTTTTCTCAAAAATTTTCATCCATATTTGACCCTCCAGGAAGCTGTAACACATATATCTATGCTTGTCCTATGGCTTCAGGAACACCCAGCACCACACTGTAGGGGGACAATGACAACTGGTACATGGACCCCACCAGCACTAGCTTACTCAGAACTCAGGAACACATTAACTATGACACTGAGAGCCACACTTCAAATTTTTACCCTTTCCTGTAATTTAGAAACACCTGAAGAAATGGTGAATTTTTCATTTGACAAACAAAGTAATAGGTAATAAAAGCTTGTTTACAGTTGTTCAGAATTGTAGAATTGAGTTGGCAGGTCCCTGAGTATGATTAATTAAATTTTTTATTATACTGTTTTCACATTCATCAAGACTGTGGTATTATCTCAACTCCTAGGTATATGAAAGATAAGAGAAAAAATCAAGTCAATTTAAGGAATTTCTAAATCTGAACCTGGAATTCTTCCTAGACAGTATTTTTAGAAGATTTATTTCTAAACGAGGGTGTTTCCTTTTCTAACAGAAGATCCTTCCTTACTTCTGACACTACTTCAAAAATAACAGTAGTCCAAGGCCAATTTTTTTTTTTTTCTGAGAAATGGTTAAAATGTGGCTTCCAAAAAGAACTATAAACTTGAATATATAAGTCTATATAACACATCATATACACAAGCAAAATTAAATTTTATTTTTAATTAACAATATCTAGAAAGTAAAACACATCTGGCTACTTAACTCTACCTTCCATTCATTTAGGAAAAAAGGTATTATTAATTCTCTTATGCAACTGGAGACATTGCTGTTTTTCCAGGATAAGCCTAAAGTGTAAGAGTCCTATGATCTTAATAAGTGATAAAAGTCATCCTAACAAAAAAATAGCAACAACCAAAAAAACCCTTTCCCATTCTTAAGTTCCATGATAAACCAGGCCTGCTGCTTTATATACACACCAAATACCTCTCTGATGGCATGGTGCCTAAGGCATTTGACTGCTAACCAGAAGGCTGGAAGTTCAAACCCACCAGCCACTCCTCGGAAGGAAGACTGGGCAATCTACTTTCATAGTGATATAACCTGGGAAACCTAAGAAGGGGTCACTACAAGTTGGATCAGATTCAATGGCAGTGAGGTGTTTTTTTTTTTTTTTTTTAACTCACAGAGGTTGAAGAAGTTTGAGTGTTAGTACTGCTAAATTAACCTTTCATGAACCTTGGATTCACAATCTGCTAAAGGACTTACTAGATTTCATTGAGTTAACAAACCATAACCTACACAAGAGAATTAATCAATGGATAGTTAAAACATATGTGGAGGAACTATGCTATGAGGTTTCAGATAGTAAATATTGCAAGCTGCATAACTGAACCAAAGAGCTCTGCTGGCGTGCTGGTTAAAGTATTAGGCTGCTCATCAAAAGGTCTTTGATTGAAACCCACCAGCCCACTCCATGGGATAAAGATGAAGTAGTCTGCTTCTGTAAAGATTTACAGCCTTGGAAACCCTATGAGGTAATTGTACTCTGTCCCAAAGTGTCTCTATGAGTTGGCATCAACGTGATGGCAGTGGATATGGTTTGGTTTTACTTATTGAATCTGAGACAAGAGGTATACATATCTACATTCCTGAGACACAGCTCTTCAGATCAAAGACCCACAATGATTTCTTGAAACAGTCTCTGTCCATATTTACTCTGCTAAGGATAACACTCAGAAGTCCCCAGGCCAAGGGGGAAAGACTTTATTTTGCATGATTTCTAAAGTGATGAGTGGGCATCTGGCTGCTGAAACACAAAGGGTTCTCTGAGAAGCCACTCATGAAATTCTCTACTACACAGATGGTGTCCATGTGCCCTTCCTACATGAGCACCAGTAGAATTAAAGGTAAGATTATCAGGCTTTGGGTCTTCTATTTAAGGAAATCAATCTAGCAAGATACATTATTGGCAGAAATAGAGTGGATTTTGGCTGCTGCTGAGTTCTATCGCAGGAAATGAAGTGGGATACTAGATAACAGCTATTAAGCCCATAAACATAAGTATTCACCAGCTTTGTTTCTCCTTGGTTTTATTTTCAGGCAATTTGAAGGCATTACAGGAATGAGCTGGTCATTTCACAGAACTGAGATATACAATCATGGGGCATCTCTGAGAGACATATATGGTAGTGGTTGGATAGACCCCACTGTGTACCCTATTATACTCTAAAGATAATCCCAGAGTACAAAGAAAAGATGGTACTGAATGTACTTTGGGACAAGCAGCCTTGTCTTTTTACTTTCATGAAGAAACTCAAATGAATGCTTACTTCAGAGTTTATGGAATCTACTGCATATTAAAAAGTGGAACATCTAAAAAAATAACTATGAAGTCAACGATAAAAAAAAATTCATACACAATATGAGCTCAGCACAGAAAATTATATGGAACAAAGAAATCAGCAACACCACGAAAAAACACATAGCAAAATGACAGCAATAAATTCATACTTGTTGATAATTACCCAAATGTAAATGGATTAAAAGTACCAATCAAGAGACACAGAGAGGTAGAATGGATAAGAAATATGACCCATCAATATGCGGTCTACAAGAGACACACCATAGACACAAAGACAAAAACAGACTAAAAATCAAAGGTTGGAAAAAAAAAAAAAAAATTAAACAAATGGCAATCAAAAAGGAACAAAAGTGGCAATATTAATTTCTGATAACATAGGCTTTAAGACAAAAACTGCTGTAAGAGACAAAGAAGGACATTATATAATGATTAAAGGATCAATTGAACAAGATGACATAACCATAATATCTATCCAGCCAATCAAAGAGCCCCAAAATAGAAAAATCAGACTTTAGCAAAATTGAAAGACAACTCCACAGCAATAGTAAGAGACTTTAATATACCATTTACAATGAAAGATAGAACAACTAGAAAGAAACTCAACAAGACACAGAAGAATTAAATACAATCTACCAACCTGACCTTATAGACATGTTATACAGAGCACTTCACCCAACAACAGCACAATACACATTCTTTTCTAGCGCACATGGAATATTCTTCAGAACAGACCACATGTTGTTGTTGTTTGCCGTCGAGTCAGCCCCGACTCATAGCGACCCCTCCTTGGGTTTCCGAGGCAGTTATCACTACGGAAGTAGGATTGCCCAACCTTCCTTCCAAGGAGTGGCTGGTGGGTTTGAACTGCCAGCCTTCTGGTGAGGAGTCAAGTGCCTTTAGGCACTATGCTACCAGAGCTCCTAAAGAAAGCCTCGGTAAATTTAAAAACATCAAAATACTGCAAAGCATCTTCTCAGATCACAATACTACAAAATTAGAAATCAACAATAGGAAGATCAAGGAAGAAAAAGGAAACATGTAAACTCAGTAACACTCTTTTTAAAAACTACTGGGTGACTGAAAAAAGGACATAGGGACAGCATCTTCCTCTGACCTGTTCTAACTTCAGAAGACACACACACACACACAAAAACAAACTCACTGCCATTGAGTCAGTGAGTGACCCCTTCTTGGGTTTCCAAGGTGGTAGGTGTCTCCACGGAAGTAGATTGTCCAATCTTCCTTCTGAAGAGTGGCTGATGAGTTTGAACAACCAGCCTTCTGGTTAGCAGTCAAGTCACTATGCCACCAGAGCTCCAGAATAGGGAGATGGAATTACCATCAGCAGCCCAAGGCTTATTCCTATGAGGCCAGATGTGCCACCACGCTCCAACCTTTTTACCAGCTATGACACCAGCCGTCCCTTCTATGGTACTCACTACTTCTCTGCTGGGTTCGAAAATCTGTTGCAATGGCCACACAGAACTCACAGACAATACTCACAATTATGGGAAGTAACAGACTACAATTCAGGTTCAGAAAAATGCTCAGGACACAATTCTTTGATCAGGACTTTCTACCCTCTTCTGTGCCCTCAAGCATGCCTCTCTGGCCCTTGGCCTCCTGGCCTGTACTCTTCCCAAGTGTTATAAAGCTCTTTTATCTCTGCTGATAGCTGCACCTAGAATGTATATTGTGCTGTTGTTGGGTGAAGTGCTCTGTATAACGTGTCTATAAGGTCAGGTTGGTAGATTGTATTTAATTCTTTTATGTCATGTTGTGTTTCTTTGTAGTTGTTCTATCTTTCATTATAAGTGGTATATTAAAGTCTCCCTTGGAAGGAAAGTTGGTCAATCTATTGTGATACTGTCTTGGAAACCCAAGGAGGGGTCGCTATGAGTCGGGTCTGACTCAACGGCATATAACGACAACAACAAAACAACTATTACTATGGACCTCATTCTGCCAGCAAGTCTCCTGCCCAAAGGCACTCAGCTTTCTTACTCCGTGGGCGAGCAAACCCACAGCTCTGTCTCACGCCTCCTGGTGTCTCAGCCAGTCATCTCAGTTGGTCATTGTAGCTGGTCATCTCTGCCAAGGAGGTCCAGCACAGGGATCTCAGATCCAAGGATGTGCTCCACTCCACCTCCAGCTCTTCTCTCTTGAGATCCCCCTTTCTGCCTCTAGGAAGGCTCATTTTAAGCCAAACAGAATGACAAAACTAACCAATCCTCACATTAGAATTCCATACACCTTATTTGCATGGGCCCACCCAGTAATCTGGTGGAAACACAAAGACTGCCTAAAAAAGCCATACCAAGTAATTCACTGTACCACAGTGATGGAAGAAATAAAAAATGAAATTAAAAAACTCTTTGAATCAAATGAGAATGAAAACATAATATACCAAAATCTTTAGGACAGAGCAAAAGCAGTGATTAGAGGGCAATTTAT